AACAGTGAAATTCGCGTTGGATGGTAAGATGGTTGGCGTAAATTTGATATTGAGACTCTCTCGTTAGGCAATGCGTTCATCATTTGCCCCATATGCCTTGCATACAACAGCGGCTCGATACTGACAATGAAGTTTGACAATAAATCAAGTTAACGTTATTTTGAGAATCAACAATCAACATGCTACCCTCGTACTAGCTACTAATTGTAGATCGTTGTGCATCAATACATTTTAGTTTTTAATAACTTATAAGTGCCTAAATGATTTGGTTCCAGTATATCTAAGTGATTATTTTGTTAACAGATATCGAGATAAAGATATAAAGAGTCCGGTCCGGGTTTCGAAGTATGCCAACAGAAACATTTGTTTGTTGACATTTTTATTCATTTAACAATTAACACCTCGCTTAATCAGCTTCACATGTAATTAAATTCTAAAACACTGTCTGCAATAAGAATATTAGTGTTTCCGTCCCTGTTTACTTGGCATCAAATCCCTCTTTTTGCAACTTTTCTTTCAGCCAACATATAGAAAATGCATCGCCTGTGAATCCACGTTTACTGCGATGAAAAATATGTTGCTGTCACGTGACCAAATTTGCATTTTTTCGGACAACTTTCGCACTCCGCTATTCAAAGTGTATACACGTGCGCGATATAAACAAGCGAAAATATCGCAAAATAGAGACGATTTGAAAGTTCTTTTTTGTATTTGTGGGTATATTTTAACTCCTGTATGTGTAATATACCGAAGAGAGAAATGGCTAGTTGTATGGATAAGGAGAATAAGCGTGTTTCGGATATGACTGTTGCCGAACTAAAGGAGTATTTGAAAATGCGTGGCATTACTGCAAGCGGCTATTTAAAACCTGCTTCACTTCAAATTGCTCAAGAAGTGGAGAAAATGATGTTGCCGATTGACCCAAATCATGAATATGGAAATTCGGATCTCAGGAACGCAATAGAAACATTAATTATTCATGATATTGTGATACGTCAGCCATTGTCATATCCAGTCGTGAACCGCCTGAATGACTTTATAGATTCGCCACCCTTCAGTTTGTACGATATTTTTAACTATTTAATATACAGCTCAGCTGAGTATGATAAACAGGGACTTGCCTCATATAAATCATTCGAAGATTATAGATTGTTTGACGAAGGCTATGTCGAGTCATTGAGAACCACAACACTGAAAGGAAGAGGGTATGCATCTGTTTGTTGGAAAGGCAGGGCTGCATATAAATATTTGACTTGACAGGACATTTGTCCGATCACTTTTAATTTTGGTCGGACATAACTTGAATTTGGTCGGACAAAAAGATATATATAAGTCACGAGACAAGTATGTATAGCCATTGCATTATATATGTGGTGTGGTTTATTCAAATAATTTCATGATACTTTGATTTTATTAGTGCATGCCTTAAACATTTGAGAATGTTGAGAATGTAACTCTGTAAAACTAAAAGCTTTCTTGTCTTTTTTGAAACGTATATTACTATACAATTACTTTATGGTTTCCGTGTTTGGATGGCCTGATCCAAACACGCGGGAATGTTGCGAGAGTTAAGAAAAGCGAGCGAAACACGAGCCGAAGGCGAGTGATTTTGCCCGCTTTTCTTACCTCGAGCAACATTCCCAAGTGTTTGGATCAGTCCATCCAAACACGGAAACCATAAAGTAATTGTTTTATAAAATAACAACAACACGGTAGTCTTCCGTGTTTGGATGGCCTGATCCAAACACGGCTTTCGACCAATCAGAATACGCGTTATATACATGTTATTTTATAATGAGATTTACAAACTATATTGAAATAATGCAAGTAAAAAATAGTGACAAAC